AGAGAGAGAGAGAGAGAGAGAGAGAGAGAGAGAGAGAGAGAGAGAGAGACAGGGAGGGAGGGCGATCATCTGCTCTCTTTCTGCATCCACACAAGTTTCGTCTTGTATTAATCATGGCAGATAGCTATGAGCCTATGAGCCTATGGCAATATTTCGAACGTTTTTTGCTAGAAGGGTAGTTACCCGGTAGTATAGGCACAAAGGCACTGAGTTATCCATTGGACATTCTTTGCAACATCAGGTGGGCTCCTTTGATCACTCACTACCCATGAGTCATGACACCCATCATTCGTCCTCTTCCACGACGCACCTCCGTGAACCCTAAATAAGCTAGTACCGCCTTCAGGCTTCAGGCTTCAGGCTTCAGGCTTCAGCCTCGACACGTGTTTAGTACCGCCTTCAGGCTTCAGCCTCAACATGGTAAACACGGGAATCGCGGCTGCCAGATCGTGGAAAGAGCTCGCGATTGATCTGCAGTCAGTTTCTTGGTGAGCTCATCTCTAAGTCCCCAGAACCTCATTCATGCTGTGCACACAAGACCATCGGCATAGTTAAGCGCTCTATGCAGAGGAGATGCAGAGCCTAGGGCATGATTACACTAGCTTAGGGCATGATTAGACTAGGATGGGACTAGCTTCTGCGGATTTGGACTGAAACGTTTTCGTCAGATGCATCGGCAATTGTACAGTTTGTACTGGCGTGTGTGTTCCCCGTCGCTGTTGACACGGTAACCATACTTTGCTTACTTAGATGGGGCACTCACTGCCGTCAGGGTTTGCGAAGTCGCTAGATGTCTTGATCATGACACAGTCGCGGACTCTACCGTCGCTTCGGTAATTACCCCATCCTCCCTTGTACTGCACGCCCGAGATGTGGATCTTGATGAACTTGTTCAAGAACCATGGCGCGTCATCCTGAAGGTTTGTCTCGTAGATCCACTCCTGAATGGTTCTGAACGTGTTGGCGCACTTGATTCCGTCCCTTCTGAGACCGTATGGACCGGAACTCATTGCACACCAGTCGGAGCTCACAGTCGCAGTTTTGATGTCCACCGTCGCCGTGTCACTGCATGCACAATGAGCCAGCGAAGAAGCGGGCACGCACAGCCCCACACAGAAAAAGCAGTAGAGGCACACGAATACACTGCGTGAGAGCCCCACCCCTTGGACCCTTGTGAGTTTTGACATCATACGGTCAGAGGGAAAAAAAAAGAAAAAAAAAAAAAGGTCATTTTAAGGTCAGACAAACTGATTGCCTTGGCCGAGTGATGTGCAACTTGGTTAAAAAAAAAAAAAAAAGGTTATTTGGAAGTCAGACAAACTGAATGCCTTGGCCGAGTGATGTGCAAGTTGGTTAAAACCAAAAAAAAAAAAAAAAACCTTCACGCTGCCTTCTTGATACATGCAAAATCATCGGAGATTCAACACACTCAAATTTTACGTGTCCTAGGAGTGAGATCGAGAACGTTGTGGAACACGGTTTGGGCCTTTCACCCAGGCTGAAGACGGTTCGGGCCGGTAGTACCAAACGGCCAAGTTTAGAGCGCCCAAAACCTGAAAGGTTTTTTTTTTTTTTTTTTTTTTTTGGACCATTTCTCGATTTATGCGTGTCATCCTTGCGCAGGGGCCATGCTAATCTTCTCTGTATCGTTCCAATTTTAACGGATGTCCCGAAGGACAAACCGGAAAGGTTTTGGCGTGGGCTCTTTCTACCAATTATCCCAAGTATACTCATACTCGTTAGTATGTGACCTGAGCATTGGCTGGCTCTATGCCACGTCCGCGGCTCCACAGATTCTCAAAATGGGCATGCTTCGCATGTTGCACGAGCGTCTGGCAAGCGAACGGGACCGTCAATGCATCCAGATTCATTCAGAACAGTCCTCATACTAGTGAGAATGGTCGTCTAAAGCGATCACGAACGAACGACGTATAACAATAAGATAATTACGATGGTGGAGTTATAATTATTAAGTATGAACCCACTCAGTACGCTGATGAAGTGATTAAGTATGGAGTAGTATAAAGTAACTCCTTTCTAGCACGGCTGACCGCGAATCGGTCAGTAAGTGACAACGTATAATTACTTACGTTTTGACATTGTGCACAATGCTGCCTGTGAATCTGCTATACGCCTTTTCGCCACCAGGACATATATTCAGCTCCGGTATCCTCCGCTTGTAGCCGGAAAGGAAGAAATTGCAGTACCTCAGCGGCTGAGCACCCGCGGGTGACGAAGCGAGCATCGTCGCAATCGCCACAAACAGGAAAGCGGCTATCATGCTGCCCGCTGAAACGGTCTTCATTATGCCAATCTTGTTGACGTCGCAAAGAAATTGCTCCCGAACGTGGTGGTATGGCGATGAGGCAGGCAATAGTGCCTAGGGACAGCAAATCGATGACGGGGTGTCAAGTCACTGAAAAAAAACGTGCTATAGAAATCACTCGGCCCTTCACTGCTCGATTGCTTGCTCGAACACTGAAACCGAAGAAGAAGAAGAAGAAGAAGAAGAAGAAGAAGAAGAAGAAGAAGAAGAGGAAGAATCTGCCGTTCCCTCCAACCGAGAGGACAGGTTGTGCTGCCGAAAGTCTGTGGGTGTGTGCAGAAGTACCTGCCTGCTTTGATGCAGGCCTGTGCAGTGTGCACTAATTTCCAGCTTGCGAGTGAACGCGCTATGCAGCTTGCGATGCGGCTTGCAGACCTGAGCTCTGCGGTGTATATATATATATATATATATACGATATATATATACTCTCACGTTGAGGCTGTCTAATGTCCATGTTGCATGGGGCCCCTTCAAGCTGGTTGCGAATTGCTGCTTGTCCAGCTCACTGTTCCTGCAGGCTGACCCATTTCACCAGGGTTGGAACCCCTAAGCCTCTTCTCAGCAATGGGATCCGGATGTGCGAGATCATTTGTGCGTCAGCAAGTGCTCATGTGCAATTTAAGCCAAATTTCAGTGTTGTTTTTTTTTTTTCTGCTTTTTGGACATGGCAGGTTATTAAACTTCTTTTGTTTTGTTAAATTTGTTTTGTTAAATTTGTTTTGTTCAAATAAAGTTAAAAACTTTTTAGGGATAATTGGTAGAAAGAGCCCACGCCAAAACCTTTTTGGTTTTGGCCGCCCAAAACTCGGCTGTTTGGTACTACAGGCCCAATGACTTCCATGCGGGGTACTACAGCCCCACGCTTCCCTCCAACGGCCCTACCGGATCATGAATCGCCAGATTCATTTTGATGTGAAAGAGGCCAGGGGTGGTACCGCTGAAGTATAGAATGAGGCCCACGTACGGTATTTTGAAAAAGAACGGCCCTACCGGCTCATGAATCTGGCGCAAAAACAGCACCAAATTCCTGAACTGGTAAAAACAGGTCCAGGGTGATGTGGCCACGGCTCATGAATCTGGCGCAAAAACAGCACCAAATTCCTGAACTGGTAAAAACAGGTCCAGGGTGATGTGGCCACGGGCGAAGGCGCCTTTCACCCAGGCTGTAAACGTTTGGGCCAGTAGTACCAAATGGCCGAGTTTTGGGCGGCCAAAACCGAAAAGGTTTGGCTCCACTACTGTTCACATGCACAAACAGACAAATTTAAAACTACGGCACTCTATCAGTCTGTATGTTCCCATGTTCTGGTGGAAGATTCGTTCTCATTCTGCTCATTTGGTCAGCATTATTATTGAGTAGTGGAGCGAGGCCTGATATTATTATTGAGTAAAAAGGCTGAGGTTGCTCGCATTCCAACTCTCTTGTAATTTTTATTGCAATCAATGGAATGCCTTTTTTTCCCTTTCTTTCTTTCGGTGAGGAGATCTTTGATTTTTATGATTGAGAGTTCAGCCTGTTCAGGGTTTCACATGGGAATGGATTTTGCTGGGTGCCAAATTGCCACTTACAGCAGCCTGCTCGTCCATTGAATTTACTTATTCTGTTTTTTTTTGGCCGATCTTGACTGTCATTCTCATCCAAGGCTCACGAATGTGGGGTGGCTTTCCACCTTTCCGGCAAGGTCAGCATCCCCATCTGGAGAGCCAGCAAGTGGTGGAACACTGGTCATCAAGTTCTTACAGTCGTCTGAAACACTTTGCTGACAGTGCTGCGTTGCTGAGTAGCCATAGCAACGACAACTTGGTAGACGAGAAATAATGCAGGCACTGCCGTGTTCACACGAATAGATGCAGGCACTGCCGTGTTCACACGAATAGAACGAGCCGTGAAAATTTTCAACGCATCTGGACTGCAAGTTTGACCAAATATGGATACAAGCCCGAATCTGAGCTGAAAATGACCCGAGTCAGTTTTCAGCCTTACCCGTATTGATCTTCACCATTGACAGTCGAGTCAGTCGACCACACTTCTGACTTTTGCTGCTTTGCAACCTCTTGTGGATCCGCCCCCTTCATCGCGTTGTCAATCCGCCTTTCCTTACTCCTCCCCCCCCCCCCCCCCCCCCCCCCCCCCCCCTC